ACGCAGTGTAGCACATTTATTGAAAGAGCTTGCTGTTGCTATGAGAGACCTAACAAGGTACAGCCTGCTATCATAGATGCGCCATTTGGTTGCTAAATATATAAACAAATTCGCCCACTCCCTTTTGATTGCTGAATTTTCTCGTTTTTGTTTTTGTAGAAAATTACGCGTTATTATTGTCGCACCATTTAGATTTGACTTGCTGATAACTCCAGACACCCTCCTTCTGCGTTCACTGGAATGCTATTCGAATTGCCAACAGCAACGCGTGTCAATCAGCACCCATTTAAAGGAGAACCGGAGGCGTGTAACAGAAAGTTTTTGCCGATTTCTGAGTGTTGATTAGATTTTATATTTGGAGTTTAAAACAAAAATTACAGTACACAAGCAGAGGTAAATGCGCATACGTGTATCTGTGACACTTGCAAATGATTTGGGTTAGTGTACCATTTTGCAAAGGAGTTTCATTTGGAGATTTTGTTTTAAATGTTCTTCTTTAAATTTGTAGGGATAACGATTGTAGTCGGAAGGCTAGGGTTCAAGTCTTAGTCTCGCACTAACATCCAAAAATGTGTATAAAATTATTTAAATTAAAAGTTAATTAAGTTAATTTTCTAATTTCGGTCGCTCCTCGGCAGGGAATGTCTACTCCTCCGAGTGTATTTCTGACATAAAGTAAAGCTCTATTTGTTGGAAGAGGAGGAGCTCGGCCGAAAATCGCTTGAACGGTTGCAAAGCGGATTATTCGGTTGTTGTCAACATCTATACTTTTGCATTATAACGTAGGTCAGGAATGAAGAGTTATATGTAGAGTTTTTTTTTTGCTCGCGAGAAGACTTATGACCCGCCGCACCAAAACACAACTTCAATGAAAAGTCTAGTCTAAGGACTAATCCATGCTGACAATCCTGCATTGCCTTAGTTATTACTTAAAGGCAAAGACTTTGAAATATTTCCGCTAGCGGGGTGGAAGGTAGCATGGTTACTGTAAATATTATTAAAATTATATTAATTTTTCTTTTAATTTTTTTTTCATACTTAATTTGAATGAATTTATTAAATTGGGTTATAAGTGTACTCAATCTCCTCGTCGACCTCATTATCATAAAAAAATCTTTCCACTGAATTCTAAAACAAAAAACCGTAGCACCTCAATACTCTCTCCAACGGTGCGCTTTTTTTTACTTTCTTTAAAAACGGGATCCATTATTTTTTTTATTAACTCCGACACTTTGCAATTGACGTTGTTATTAATTCAGCGGCTTTCTTAGCTCCTATGTATATGTGGTCGAGGTCTAGAAAACAAGCTCTTCCGACGAAATCTCGCTAGAAGCAAAAGGGTGTTGAATGAGTTAGTTTTGGACGGTATGAAAAGAGGTGGTTAGTATAGTGTGGGGTCTCACTCCAAGCAGGATGCACGTTAGGAACGTCGAGGTCAAGTTGAGTGTCCTACAACACCCAGTCCTTTGACCTTCTTTAGATGGTATGTAACCTCTTTATGCCATTAAGTAAACGTTGGTTTCCATCTTCATATAACTCCAGAAATTGCTTTGACTTGTCTGTCAGCGCCACCTATTCCTCACAAATAAAATGCATCCCGCAGTAAGGAATTCTCTTTTGGTATATTGCTTCATAGGTTTATGGATATGCAATAAGTATGTGGCCAAATGTTTAAATTTTAAACTTTGGTTTGATGTCAATCGGACGTAGAATTGATTGCAAACTGCAAGGAGTGTATTTCAGCAAAAGGGCCGAGATACAGAAATCATGGACAGATGCAGCAATATAATCAGATGCTCCATTTGAACGAGTTACCTTGAATGTAGCTGGCCCATTCCCTACTTGCAGACTAGGCAACAAGTACGTCCTCGTGGTTATAGACTACTCTACCAAATAGACGGAGATCTACCCATATCTAAGCCAGGAAGCTAAGTAACGGTTGCGGATGCGTTTACCTACAATTAAGTTGCCAGATATAGGACTGCACGTTGACAAAGAAAGAGTTTTCGAATCGGTGGTATTCCAAAAGATTGGTCAGATATTGAGTATTCAGAAAATCCGAAACGACACTTCTGCATTCCCAATCAGATGGGAATGAAAGAGCCCTTGAGAAAGTCGTGGACGAACATCTACGAAACAGCGGTCTTGCTTCGGTTGTCTAATGATTTAAAGTTTGGTGTAAATGATTATGCGAGAAGAGATGTGTATAGGAAACGTGTAACGTCCTAGAGGAAGAGCTGAGAGAGATACATACTCTTGTAAGGTAGCGAAATCAAATTATGAGTAACAAGATGAACGGTAGGTATAATAAGGCGATGAACTCCGAAGGTTTTCAAGATGAAGATTTAGTTCCGCTATACCACCACATCCACAACGGAAGAGAGGTTTGTCCCCGAAACATCGATGCAATTGGGAACGTGTATATAAGATTATCTAACGGCGAAACCAAATCGTTGGGAGACCAAGAAACAAAAAGAAAGTGGTCCACTTGAAAAGGCTTGTGGCATTTGGAACAGCAACTTAGGTGCAGGGCAATGTGGGGAAAATGCCAAATACGAATGACAGATGAAAAGGAGATGTCGATAACTAAAGTACACTCTAGTATCGAATATCCTGTCTATCGTATGAGCAATCCAAAAAGTTCTAGAGCCAAGCATGAGCAATTGATGAGGCCAAAACAGTGAGGGGTCAGTTACAAAGTCGTTGGTGATAACATCGGTACAAAGTAGAGTGTGAAAATTGGTGTTGAGATTAGTAAAGTAAATTGTGTAAACTTTGTGAGTCAAGAATTTCGCCGAATTCAGCCTGAAAGGTTAAAAATTTCAAAATTGTAGTACAAAACTTATAAAACAAATAAAATAAAATGAAACAAAATAAAAAACCAAACAAAATGATAAATAAAATAAAACATAATGAAAACAGGAAACATAAAACAAATTAATATATACTTAAATTAAATTAAATAAAAAATAAATCAAAGAAAAAAAAATTACAAAAATATGATTAAATTAAAATAAAAAATTAGTAATAAAATTATTGTATTCTTTGCAATTAAGAAATTGTGCAACATTGAGTGACTTTTATTTAACAATCCAGTGATCGAACTCAAGGCCTTTGGGAAATCATTCGAAGGACTAGCAAAATCTTTACCATCGAGTTCCCATCCTTTCAACATATATTCCTATCAGACAATATCTTATAAGAACCACCAAGTATTTAGAAAATGTCATCTCTTCTTAAGGAATACATTTCGGTTGGCCTTTTCCCATCCTATTTTGGTCAAGCATATCTAGGTGGCCGCGATGGCCGAGTAGTTAACATTGCGTACTACCATTCAGAAGGCCAGGATTCGACCAACCTCCGAAAATTGTAGAAAATAAATTTAAATAAAAAATTATTGCGGTCACGACTCGAAAGGGAATGTCAACCCCTCCGAATGTATTTCTGAAAGCTCCTCATTAAAAACTATTAGCCATTCGGAGGCGGCTAGAAAAACAGCTGACGAATACCACAAATAAGAGGAGGGGCTCAGCCGAAAATCGTTTCAGCGATTAGGAAAAAACATTAACTATCAGGTGTACAACTTTGCTTCAGCCGTTTTTTTTTTCCAAAATTAAAAGCTTTATTGCGAAAAAGTGCTTACAGATGTATTATTCAAAGTGTTGTCCTCCGCTAGCGACAACTTTCTCCCATCTTTCCGACAATTTTCGGATGCCGGCTCGAAAAAAAGAGTCCTCTTTTGACGCTATCCATGAAGCAATCCATTTTTCGAAATCTTCGAAGGATTGAAAAAGTTGATCTGCCAGGCCGTGTGCCATCGAACGAAATAGGTGGAAGACAGAAGGGGCGGCATCTGGGGAATACGGTGCGTGGAGTAAGACTTCCCATTTCAGCGTTTCCAGGTACTTTTTGACCACTTTTGTGACGTGAGGCCGAGCATTGTCATGTTGGAGGATGACTTTGTCATGTTGCTCTTGATATTGAATCATGCCGAGGGCCTTGAGACGTTTTGAAATGGCTTGCTGACTCACTCCCAACGATTCGGTAAGCTGTACTTGGGTTTGGCACGAATCTTCATCAAGCAGTGCTTCTTGTTGTTCATCTTTGAAGGTTTTTTCTCTTCCACCACCATGTTTGTCGTCGACATCGAAATCACCATTTTTAAAACTTCCCGCAAATGGCGAGAATTAGGCACATAAACTTACATTTTCGAGTTTGAATAATGCGAAAACAAGAACAACTGTCACTGAAACGGCGATGACAATTCGTTAGGCACTGTCCACACTCATTTTAAAGCCATTATCATCTATATATTTCAACCAGCCTCAGCCGGTACAGCCACCTATCGGAAAACGGCGGAAGCAAAGTTGTACACCTGATATAAATACATATATCAAGGATTTCGGCATTTCCAAGTGTAATTCCACATCAGCATGGCCTATTTATAACTGAACTCCCTATGAAGCAGTTGGTTTGTGACAAAGTACATATAAATAATGCATTGTTTTCTAGAAGTACTGCACACCTAACTTATCACACTACCTACCCAGCAGTAGGGTAAATCATCTACATCTCTGGTATGCAGGCTCATTTAACATGAGTGGAATGTGCAATTTCCATTTAATTTGTGTGACAAATTGTTAAAATAAATCAATCATGCTAATGCAAACACAAATATTTCACGTATGTTATAATGAACATTTCAATTACATGAATGACTTTGTGTAATTATCGACTTGTAAGGTGTTTTTGCATTCATTATAACATAGATGAGTGTAAATATAAAATGTAGTACCGAGTTGTGGAGTTTAAAGTTCTAAATGAAGTAATGAAAGTAGATTATGTTTATATATATATAAATATATATATGTATGCATGTACTTTGAGAAAATTGCCTGTTTAAGCAATCGCAACATTAGTACTTCATACACTTTATAGGACAACAATTTTCTTTTATAATAATTATTCATTTCTTTATTGAGTTTTAAACATTTTCTTGCAATATTATGTACTTAAATATAAAGATTTTAAATCACAAAAGTTTATATATCTAACTTTTTAATTTTTAAAACGTCGCTGCATGCCTCGTGCCGCCACCGCCGCAGCTGCACCGCGTCGAAAACGGGAATGACTGCCAACGACTTTGCCAGCAACTAAGGCAGCTGAACCAGACACCTCATCCTTTTCCGGTAAATGTGCCACATGCAATGCGTCCCATAACATGCGACCATTTTCCTGTGAGTCAAGCATTTCGCTGAGTTCAGCCTGAAAGGTTAAAAAAATGTACTACACATCATTTATACAAAATAAAAAATTTAACTAAATAATAAATAAAATAAAACAATGAAAACAGAAAACATAAAAAAGGAATATGAAATTAAATTAAATTAAATTAAAAAAAAAATAAAATCAATTTATCGAAAATAAACTAAAAAAAATAATTCTAAAAAAAATATTACAAAAATATAATTAAAGATATTAAAATAAATTAAAACCATTAATGAATTGAAATGATGAATAAAATAATATAAGAAAAATTAAGAAATAAAACAAAATTAAATTGAAAGTACAATGATTGCTTGGGTAACAATAACTTAAATAAATAAAGTGGTAAAATAAAATAAGTTGAAATAAAGTAAAATGAATAAATGAAAAAAGTAAAAACAAAATATAAAAGCAAATAAAAAATTTATATTAATATTGTAGTTCAAGTCGAATAAGAATAAAATAAAATCAATTCAAATGAAATCAATCCAAAAAAATTAAAACAAAATATATTTCAGATGAAATAAATTAAATACATTAAAAAAGTAACAATTAACATAAATTAAATTAAAAATAAAATAAAAATAAATAAAAAAGGATAAAAGAAATTAATATAAAAATAAATAAAAAATAAGATAAAAGAAATTAATATAAAAATAAATAAAGTGAAATAAAAAGTAAATACATCAAAATAAAATAATGTAAAATGAAAGAAGTTCTGAGACACAAACCTGCGTACGCTTCAGCAGTTCCTTCAGGGAACCACCATGACGCATAAGTTTATGCACATTACGCGTATTTACGCCAGGTAAACGCAATAGAAAATCAAAAATATTTGGATTATACTTTAGCTCATCTGTATTGGCGCCCGATTCATCACAACCCACAGCCGCCGCCTGCTTTGGATCAGGTTGTGGTTTGCCCAGCTTTAAATCCTCAAACAATTGCGCAGTAGCATACGGGCTGGGCGACCAAATGAGACGTAGTTTTGGAAAATGTAGAGTAAGCAATTGTAGCTTCTGCACAATATCCGCCGAAGTGGAATTTGTATTCTGTGAAAGCATGTATTTACCCTGCAAATGGAAGGGTTTATTCTGATCGAATTCAATGAGTAATATTGGCTTCGCGTAATAGCGTTGCATTTGTATGCACTGATTGTATAACCGACCCGAATTGAGTGAACCGATAAGATCGGAAATTGATTTGCGTTCAACGCAAATATCTGGTGTCAGAATATAGTCGCCAATCTATAAAAGGAAGGCAAGTGTAATTTTTTTAAATGCAAAAATCACCTATTGAAATGTTAAAATTACCGTTATGGTGACTGGCAACACTTCCATGCCACGCTTATGTATCAAACACGGCAAATCTGAGCGAAACTCACGCATATCTACTATAACTTTCGGTGCTGCAAAGGGTATAAGCACTTGACCACCAGCTTGACGACTATCGGTATTTGATTGATCTGTACTTTCAGTCTCTGCATACGTTTTGTAGAGTATAAACGCCTCATCCGTTTTGCCATCTTGATATTCTGGGATGACCATGACCTTTTGGAATGAAAATAATTCTTATGAGTTATATATTTTTAAAGCGACGGTAATTTCCGCTTACGCGCTTTTTATCGATAATCATCTCGAAAGCTTGCTTCTCTCGACGTAAACTTGTCAAATAGGATTGTTCTTCGACGGTACGCGCATGCAGCAGAAAAAATACGCGCATACGATCCTTGGGAGCGCGCCTTTGTCGTGCCTCATGTATCTCTAATTGTCGTATCGCAGCCACATTACAATGATACATAATCACATACTGTGGCTGAACCTCTTCCAGTATATGATCAAGCGCCATTGGTCCTTGAGTCTCCGTTTTGAACGTCTGTATGCAAATGAATGGTTGATTTCGTGCAGCTATAGCAGCGGTCACGTCCAAGCTGGCCAACTGCAGGTGAAATTAGAGAATAGGGTAGTTATTTCAGCGAAGTCCAAGAGGGTCTCTACCCACGTCATATATTGGAGTTTAAGCATGAACAAAGCCTAAAAACTTTAAGCTCCCCTCCCCTCAATTGTATTTCCACAAACCGAAGAAGAAAAAGAAGTTGTAATCGATACTCGAGATCATATAAGGGGAAAAGAATAATTGTTTTAATTCGATGAAATCATCAAGTAGAGAGGTATGTTCCGACCTTTAATCGATGGCCTAGGAAAGGAGCAGTTTTAAGCCGTAGGGAGAAGAGGGTCAGGCGAGACGGTTTGAGAGGAAACGCAATGGGGCAATGTTAAGTATGTCGGGGTCGAAATTAAGTCTGTTAGAAAATTATGAAATTAATTGCTCGTGGTCTTCGTATATAGGTGGTAATCGAATTGTAATAAAGCCTTGTATGGAAGGAAGTAAACGTAGGTTTTAAATAGCAGATCTTTTAATAGTTAACAAGGTTTAACGTTCTCTATGGCAGCACCGCAGAAGAATTTAATTATGCTCCTTGACTAAAGGCATAGATCTTTGGCCATGAAGCGAAGGCGACACTAGGAAAAAGCTATTGAGACACTCTCCGAAAACCTAAGTATCGGAACTAATTCTTTATGCAGACGACGCGGCAGAAGCTTCTACGCGTTGAGCTAAAATACTTCACATGCTCATAGCCTGGTCTGGGGGCTTATTACAACTCATATGAAATTGCAATCCTTAACAACTCAACAAGCTTTTGCACTCACCTTCCAGTATAGAACATAATATATTTGATAAACAATGTCGTACCTCTGGAAATGGTTCAAATATGGAAGTATTCACATTCAACCCCATAGTGCTACAGACATCCGAATAATCATCGAACTCCGTGTGTGTTGCTGCGTCCTCGGCATCTTCTAATTGTGTCATGGTTAATAAATAACTCTCTTGAAATTGGGTGGCATTGAAGTGCTCATCACCATCACTGGCAGTCAACAACTGCGTAAGCTCATCTACCACTGTACTCGTTTCGGTATCCGTCACTTCTGATTGTTCGCTTGCGGTTTTGGTGTTTTGCTGAGTACTATTGACTTTCTGTGTACGCGTGCTAGCTAGAGTTTTCTCCAGTTGTGTAAGTGCCTGCTCTATCTCTTTGACATTCTTTAATTTGTCATAACTTTCAGCTAACTTGCCAATTGGTATTTCATGCTGCATGGCAGCGTAAAGCAGATACCGTTCACCGCCTTGTGTGAGAAACTGTCGCAGCTGAAAGCAAGTTCGTGTGTCCTGACAAAGTATTAGTACTTTTGGCGGCAGCAAACAATCGGGATGAGAGCGCTTCATATCACCAGGAATTTCAACACGAAGTATTTCTGTTAAATATTTCCATTTCGGACAAGGCTCGGGTTCGAATTCTATGGAGAAAATTTGTTTGCAAAAGTTTTTTCAAATCAATATGATCTTGAAGGAAAGCAATGCCTACCGCCTTGCGCATTGTATACACGCTCTTTGGACAACTTGAATATCTGTTCGGCTGAATCTAACAAAGTCCATCCCGAGTTGCTCAACGCATATTCTGTAGTGCGATAGCGTTTTGTTAACGCATAAGCTGCTACAGCATCATGATATATTGTTGAACTGGAAATACAAATAATTTTTATATCAATTTATAGAGAAATCTATATATGCATTTACGTATGTACGTACATCATTAGGTTGCGCAAAATTTTCAAATCAGCTACAATCAGCTTCGTTTGTGAATTCAATTGGTGCCAAATACAGTCTAGCTGCGATTGCAGAATCTTATGGAACTTTTTAGTTATACAATTCTCAACAGTGATCTCTTCCAAATCTACTAGTCGATTAATACGCTTTATCTCACGCACTAGATAATTCATTATATCAAGTAAATGGGTTTGTATCTGTGTCATTTTGGGCGACATGGACACATGTAACTCAATAGTTTGCGCCTCATATGGTTTAAGGGATAGCTGTACTATTGCATGAAATCGTGGCCAAATGAAGAGTTGTTTTACAAACAAATTACGCATAGTACGTTCTATGTGTCCATAACCAATTGTGAATGCTTCAGCGCTACTGGAAAATGCTTTAATAAAGCCTGTTTTATTGCGCATACGGTAAAGACGCAATGCAAAAGCCTCCTGGCACGATTCGATAATTGTGTGTGCCCGCAATACAACAATGCCAGTGATCAAATCGATTGGTATACGATTTTTTAAAATGTCTACAACTAAAATGCGCGTACTTATGAATTGTATGCCACCTTCTAAGTAAACGCGTTCACTGTGTTGAGTAAGAAATAAATTGATAATTGCACAAATCTATTGTAATTCAAATTCATTTACCGTTCTGTCGCAGTCGTAGCAACCTCACGCACATATTTCTGTTCTAGCTTTGTTTTATAATATTTCTCCTCCCAATCAGAAAAATTGATTACAAGCACAAGATTGCCTGGATCGCTGTAAGCTTTTAATATATTGGTTAGAACACGATCGTAATGCAAGCCTCTGAAAAAGAATAAAGGTTCGGCATGTTTTGTACATATATTTTCTACAGCAAGCGGTCATTAGAAGTACTTAATTACGGTCTACAATTGCCGTCTACTTACTTTGCGCATACTATTAGACCGTCGTTATTTACAATATCAAGAAACATACGTTTCTCATATTCCAGCATTATTACATCCTTACGCTGCAGATATTCTTCGGCAGTCATAATATTTGCTAATTCAGCATCATCATCTTGAAATCCAGACTCCTCAGCATTTAACGTTTTATTTTCAGCTGCTGATGGTTCACCTCGTGAAGAATTTTCCTTACTGCTTGATTTACCACTTTCATTATCCTTAATTTGATGAAAGCTTGCCTTCGATGTTGAAGGCTGGATTTTTTCTTCACTTTCCATAGTAAAAAATGTACAAAAAATATTATTTGCACCAAGTGGCGGTAAATTTTTGAGATTATTTGTTTATAATTTTGTAAACAGCTGATTTTAAGTTTACATGGCATCTCAAACTGCAGTGTAGGGTGCGTGAGTAGTATAATTTTCAAATTATTTGAGTTTCCTAAATTATTTACATGAATTTATCAAATTACCGGGAATTCCATAATAAAATTATTGAGTTGGCTACAGCTTTTTCAAACAAATAAAGTTAAAATTTTTGAATTTTATTCACTTACGCACATTGGAAGCTAGAAAATAATTATTTTTATAAAATTTATCGAAGATAAACGCAAATGCTATAACATCATGAAAATTTTGTTTTCAACCATTTTACTGTCACGGTAGCTATCTAATATTTACGTAAAAATAGATAAAATGCGTATTGTTGTTAACCCTCTGTTGAAATGTTGATCTGTCACTCACGCGATATACACAGAGAACGTAAATATTTACGTTCTCTGGTTGAAATGTTGATCTGTCACCCACGCGATATACAACAACAGCTCTGTTCGTTGAAAAATGTCGGTAAGAATTCGTTGGTAACGGAATGTCAAAAATGTGCTCTTTCGGTGCCTCGCCGAACACGGTTTAGTAAAAAATTGGTAACAATTTTATCTGGCATTCTGCTCACCGAACAGGACTAATCAGTAGAAACCTGTCAATGGGCATTTGTTTTCAACACAGTATAAAATTGATTCATAACAATTGTTTTTTGATTGACAATACAAATATTACATTTTTATAAATATGGAAGAAAGCGTCCGAGACTCCAACGGAAACGTTTGCCTTGATCAAATTGAAAGGATAATGCAGGAACTAGATTCTACTACTACAGTATCGCAAAGCTCTACATACTTTGAACAACCACCAGCAACAGAGTTGGTTCATAGACCTATCGTACTTCCAGCTGAAATTAAGAAAGAGCCGGTTGACAAGGCGAACGATTCCTCTCATACAACGGTAACTGTTTTATCACCGCATGAAGATGTCTCAAATGCAATGAATTCAACTGTACTCTTTGAAAGCACTTCTAATAATATAGAAATGCGATCTACCATAGCTGCTGAATCTGCTGCAAACGTTATCGCCGCTCAAATTCTGGAGGTCTCTCCAACTCCACAAATACTCATCAAGCAAGAAAGAATTGAAACAGATATCGTAACTCCACCAAAAACTGTCCCTAAAGACAGTTCTACGAGCAGTATACCCAAAAGGAGTAACGAGGATGAAATTCAAACGCCTACAGTTGTGAATAGAATAAAAACGGAGCCTTTAGAAGCAGAAGCAAATGCTACACAAATAAATATGCCGGCATCTACAATTTCAGTAGTTATTAATCAGGAATGCGTGGACAGCAGTGAGTCAACTACAACCCCAAGTGCAATTGTCCCGAGATCTTCACCTGACATTGAAAACAAGGGACACGAGCATGATGAAACATTACCTGATAACTTTTTTGATGATCTAATTCGAGATGCAGATAATATTACGGCAGCAGCCTTGCAAGCAAATGCTCCGGGTAGAGCGTCATTAGAAAAGCAAACTAACGAAGTAGTTCTTAATATAAAAAGTGAACCTTCAGAAAAGTGCAGTGATGGCGATAAAGACGTCGAAGCTTTCAATGTGAAACGTGAACCATTAGAAACTGATACCGTGCCAGAAGTAGCACCGTCTGCACCGATACCTGAAAATTTTTTCGATGACTTGCTTGTTGATCATGTAGCTGAGCACATAGAAGACGTAGTCAATCATGACCTCGAAATAAAATACTCTAAACGACTGAAGGAATTGCAGCAGTTAGAGACTGTAGAACATCGCTCAAATAAAGCACATAAAAAACATAAAAAAAAGAAGAAAAAATCGCGTAAACGTTCCCTCGATGAGACTATCGAAGAAGGAGAAGTAGTTGATAATATTAAGAAACGCCGAAAACGCTCATCCAGCAGCCACAGTCCCACTATACCTTCACGTATAGCAGTAAAAAATGAATTTTCTCTTAGTCCTGCAGCTATGGAAATAATAAATTTGGATTCTGAGCCTGAAACTAGTACATCTGCCGCCAATCGCGCCTTGTTACAAAAACGAATTCCTTCGATACGTATAAAACCTGAATTCGCCACATTCCCACAGCCTGCGGATGAACCGGATATTTGTTTGCCCGTAAGGGAGAATGAACTATTCCAGCGACGCAGCAACTTTGATAGAAACGGTCTTATTATGGATCTGACGTCACCGTTGGGCTTTAAGCGCATTAAATGTAAATACAAATTTATTACCTACTGCAGAAGATAATCAATATGTACAAACATATATATAAATGTTTTTTTATTTATAGTGGAAAAAGATGTTGATCGAACAGCAGCAAATCACACAGAGTTTATCTCACCCAAGGATAAAATGCAAAATGGTAAGTTGTGAAGTAACACATTTTGAGACTTTGACACATTTTTTCTTTTTTTATCTTTGCAGCAAAACAACGCGCCATTGCTGCAATCGATGAACTCAATAAAATGAGCAAAAAAACAACATTGTCAGCTTTTGTCCACACAACTACCGTACGTAAGCTGCCTAACAGTTGTTCGTATATTAATCAACAAATTTATGATAATCGTTCGCCGCTACATAATGTCAACAATGTCCAGTACAAATTCAACTCGCATGCTTCTCGCTTTAACCTGCACGAATGGGGCTTAGAACAAATGTCGACTCAAGCTGCTAAAGTGGCGAAGGTTTTGGGTTTTGATGCGCATACACTGATGAAGAAATTGCAAACAGTTAAAATGCCTCCAAAACTATTAAAGATAAAGAAAGAACATATGGAGCGAGAGTATAGAATGAAAGAACCACAATCCTCATATCTCCTTACGGTCGCCACACAAACAGATGAGGTAACCGTGTTGGACGCAACATCAAAACACCAAAAAAGCGGCTTTGACATTGGAGTGCAAACCATAACGCAGGCTAATAACATCGGCACACAAACTATAGATCTACCAGCCGCGGGTGGCAATAGTTACCAAGATTTACCGCTAGTGCAGAAACTAGGCTCTTTAAATGAAAATCAATTATTGGCTTTAAGTGAATTTGCCGACATCATGCGTGAGCCACCCCTGCCAAAAGATGCAAGTTCTATTGACTTATATCGCCAACACCAGCGTATAATTGATCTCTACAAGTGGTCCCAACGACCGTCTGCGCTCGAATCAACTACACACACTACCACACAGCCAATTCGGGCAATAACAGCGTCATCGGTACGTTCTAATGAACAAATTCTACGTGATCCTAGACAAGAAAGAATAGTGAGGGTAGCGCAAACGGCAGTTCGTCCCAGTGTTCAAAATCCACGTGATCCTCGTCAAGAGAGAAGGATACCGGAATCACCACCACCACCACCACCGCCATCAACGCGTCAATTACATGCAGTACAATCATCTCATCTGCATTTTCCAAATTCTAATTTACCACAAGCAAATGCAAAAGCCGATTCCGTACCACAAAAAATTCCAGTCATATCTAGTGTACAGTCATTTCATCCCGCCTCTCTGCTGCCACCGCCACCTCGTGACGCTCGACAAGAGCTCGGCTCAAAATATTTCGGCAGAGGCAGCATACGTCGGTAATACAAAACTATTAACATTAAAAAGTTATAAATCATATTAACAATGCATATGTATAAACATATTAGTTTTCTTAATTACAACCGATTTGTTTTTAGTTAAAAATGTAATTTTCTTAAGCCTTCATAAAAACTGAATACACATTTTTTAATAAATTCACACAGTAAAAGAAACAACAAACAATTTGTATGTCATATATTTTGTAAGTGTGTCTTATTTTGCATTAAATGCTCTCATTATATAATTTGCAATTTATCTTTTATGTCTGAATAACAGCGTCGTCTGCATGTACTAATTGTATACTGTTATTGTTGTAGAGGCTTCGTTAACCCCGCTTAGGGACAGGTTAATTAATCTAAATCACCGCGGTTATTTAATGGGAGGTCCAGTAAACGTGCTGTTCCGATGGAATCAGACCGTAAGGAGAAGTGGGTTGGATTTGTCTGTTTTAGATGGTTAGAGTCGTGTGGAGACTCTCCATATGTAGTAGGAGTTCAACCTGCTACAGTGTCCTGACCTAAGTTGTGCCAGTGTCAAGCGGGTCTCTCGGAGCAGCTCGAGGTCATTGTCTGCCATAAGTGGTGCTTCTACTCCGAGTATGCCATTCACGGGATGTCCTTACCTCGTAGCATAATGCTTTACTGTGCAAGTGATGCTCCGGTGACAACAGGAGGTTGCCTGCTACTGCCTGAGGACAGTGTTCTGGCAAGCCTGTAACTTCTTCATCTTCATCTCATTCGTCCCCGGCGCCCAGATCGGTGCAGCATGTAGACTAACATCCCTCGCCTTCGGGTCCGAATACGGCGAAACAGCTCGTTTTCCTCCCGTTAGAAGACCTAGACGACATCAACTAGTCGAGTCCTGGTTTGACCAACGTCTAAATTGTAATTTTAATTTCGGCCGCCCCAAGACAGAGAATGTTTAGCCCTCCGAGCGTATTTCCGATATAAAGGAGGCGGCTTTGAACAAACTATTGGTCTTTCCATTTGCTGAAAAGACATCAAGAGGCATACCACCAATTGGAGGATCAGCTCGACAGTTACAAATCGCCAACAACAACAACATGGGAATTTGCGTGTTCTCTACAAATCCATAAGAAGGGATTACCGTAGAATCAGTCGTCTATATATAGCATATATCAGAGACTACAACATAATGGCAACAAACTAATCAGACATTCAAAATTCGCCGAATGCTGTAATAAAACCCGTCTGAAGAGAACCGACACACACAGCTTCTTGGTTGATTTTAAAGCAACCTTCGTTGGTACGAAAAATGGCTCTATACGAATTTGGTATTGCCGAAAAACTTATACGGCCGTATTTTGAAAACTCCGAAAGTTCAAAGAACCTTCCCGAGCCATTCAGCATCCAGCCAGGCTTCCCTTTCGTCTCAAAAACAGTACTACGCCCATTTGCCATGTAGAATCAAAAACCAAGAAAATTTATATTTGATATTTTCTGCATTTTTCAATTGTTTATTTACTATTGTTGGCTCGCTCGCATAACATAAAAATAAAAAATGTTAAATACACAAATTATTAATACCTTGTCAATATTTCATTTTAAATTGAATAATCGTAAAAAAATGTATACAAAAGCAAATACGTATTGTTCGTTGTCCATGCGGTTTTACAAGCATTCCGACATACATATCTATGGATGAATGTATGTTATATGGAGAGAGGACGCGGCACATTTCGCTGCTTATTGTATAAAGTATATGTATGTATTTATATAGTATATATGTATGTAGGTATGAAGTATTGAGTTTTTATTCATTTCTCGCTTGCCAACCATATTCATTTTGTTTTATTATATATATTTTTATGATATTATTATTATTATTTTTCTTCTTGATATTTTAAATTAGCTTACATCGAATTTCGTTTACACATTTATGTAAATGTTGCTTATGCGCCTAAAAACACGCTACATATCCAAAAAATGTGTTTAAGTATGAAGAAATCGCTCTGCGTCGCGCTGTCGTTGTCGACGTCTTTCACAATTAAAAATTTTTCTGTCAATTTGTTCGCGTGTGGAAAGTATTACTGTGTAGTTTTGTTGTGCTGCCACTAATAAATAATTACTGATCCATTGCCTCCTGACTGGTGTCATCCACCTCCATGCCAGCTGGTTCATCTTTAGCTGGCAGTGAAGGTTCATTGGCATCAGTGGCCATTTCAGTGGCGGCGCTTGTATCGGCCATAACGACCTCATCAACAGCGGGTTGGGCCTCTTCAATCGGCACATCTTCCATGGGCTGATCGTTAAGAGCTAAAGTGGGTGTTGGAGTGGGCATAGGTGTTGGCGTCGGTGTAGCTGCAGGAACGGAAGCAATGGCTTCGGCAGAGGTTGCGAGTTCTTCTGTAGTTGCAGCAGGTGAGTCTGAAGCGACGCCACTTTCTTCAACTGCGTTAGCACTGTCAGCGGTTGTGCTGCCAACAGCTTCAGCACTTGATGGTACTTCACTTTCGCTGACTGCAGCAGCGGTGGCAGCGGTAACAGTATCAGTAGCAACTTCTTTCTTTTCGTCGACCTTAGGAGTTTCTGCGACAACTGCTGCAGTTTCAATTTTTACTGCTTCTTCTTTAACTGCGGGTTTACTTGAAGAATCCACATCGGGTTTCTCAGTAACTACAGCTTCCGCTTCATTGTTTGTATTGGCTTTATCTTCAACATCTTTCTTTTCTGTCGGCTTTTCCACCTCTAAAGCGGCTTCAGGATTATTCTCAGTCTTTTCGGGCTCTTTTGTTTGCGTGGCAGTGCTATCGGATTCGTCATCATCTTTAGCTTTCGGCTCAATAACAGTTTCTTTTGTTACCGCTGCAACAGCTTCAGCTTCAGCTTCGGCAATGGTAGCCTTTGGCGCTTCCTCTTCTTTTTCTGGGGTGCTAGTCGAAACTTCAGCCTTGGCCTCAGCATTGACCTCGACCTTTTTAGCAGTCACTACCTCTACCTCCTTGACTTTGTCATCAGTCTTATCTTCATCGCTACCACTTACAACTGCTTCGGTTACAACTTCTGTCTTGGCTGGTGTATCAGTTACTGACTTCACGACATCGACCTCGATTTTTTCAGAAGTTTCAGTAATAAATTCATCTATTGTTTTAATTGCCACTCTGACCATCGCAGGATCTGCATTGCCAATAAGTGGCTTTAATTCCTCAGCTATTGCTAAAGCGTCCAATTCGTTTCTCTTCTTGACAGCTTCAAAATGGTCAATTTCTTCCTTAACTTCGGTTGGTGCTACTTCCTTTTTAGTATTGCTTTCCTCCGGTGCAGAAGCTTTAGGTTCAACCTCTTTCTCTGCACTCTTTTCAATCTCTCTCTCTTCCCCCTTAGGCACCGCATCTTTCAGCTCTGCCTGCTCTTCTTTCTTTGTCTCGTCTATGCTTTCTTTTACGTCTTCTACTTTATTGTCGTCCTCTGTCATTTCTGCATCCTCGGCGGATGACTTATTAGCAACCTCTGTGCCGCCTTCACCATCCACTTTATCACTCTCCTTGGCTTTATCATCTGCAACTTTCGCCTGGCTTTCTTCTTTTGCCACCGAAGTGCTGCTCTCCTCTTCTTCAGTCTTTTCAGCTGCTTTCTCATTCTTCTCCTCCTTCTCATCCTTGTCCTCATCCTTCTCCTCATCTTTCACATCCACATCCAGTTTTGCTTTTTTCGGATTCGGTAATACATCGTCATGGGTTGTGGCATGCTTAGTAGCAGTCACCGTTTCTGCCGCAACAGGTTTCTCTTTGGGCTCTGACTCTGGTGATGCCTCTCCATCAGCTGCCAATGCTGTGCCATTGCCGTTGCCAGTACCGTTGCCATTTTGAGCTTCCATATTGAAGATAGACTCATTCTCCATATCGATATCGACATTGACGTCCAGCGACAAGTCACCGTTAACCACTGAATCCAAGGAATCGCCGTTTTCACTTTCAGTACGTTTACGGCCAGGTTCAATGGTGCTCACTACTAGAGTTCAAAAAAGAGAAGAGAGAAGAAGACCATTGTTTAGAATTGGTATGTGATTTCAATTAAAATAATAACAATAATAATTTTCAAATAAACTACACTCAAAACTAAACTAAATAATACAGATCTACAAAAAAAAAGTTCTGAAATTCCAAATGGTAGCTGCTAACCAATTATACCGCGGCCACAAATACCGCACTCTGAGTTTGTTAATTAGCTGTTGAGGTTGCTCGATCACGGTACTCTACGGCTTACTGGTCCTTAAGTTCTACTCACCTAGACATTTTAAGTCATTTAGTCCGTTTTATGAGACCCACGAGATTATTGACGCTTGCTGAAGCAAGTACTTCAAGGTAGTCGGTAGAAGAACTGTTCTAACGACTCCTCCTCGTTTATGTCTCGACAGCTGTGACAATAGTCCCTATCAGACAGTGTTCGGTTAAAACGCCAGATACTATGCTCCTGGAGGCCCTGTTTAGAAGAAGTGGAGGCTATGTACTCTTCCCTTCGAGCAATGGTCGGATCTGTTATTTTAAATTGTATGCAATTGAAGGCCTCCATCTGCGCTTGGCCTAATTGATGAAGGCAGATATTAACAGATAATGTGACTAGGTCGTCGGTCTCAAAATTTCGCATACAGTCGCAAGTTTGTTTAATACTTTTCTGGATCTTATTTCCACCCATGGCTATCAGAATATATCGCTATGGTTACCATTGCAGAGTTCAGTAGACCGGTGCGTGGTTCGGTTATAGTAGTTGGTGCGGCTTGAAAGACGCTGCTGTGGTCAGAAAGTCTCTTGCTCAAGTCGATTGCAAGCGGTTGTGATTGAATTCCAAAGCTCACCCTACAGTCAAGTTTTGAGTAGTCAGTTAAGATGGCTACGAATCTCTTATCAAAACCGGAGACATTTAACCCATTCTATACTCTACGGGATTTTTGATTCTTTCTATTCATAGGTGAGATCTCACGCAACAGTGTTTCTAGATTGTTCTGTTGACCTACACGGGATTAGTTCGTTGTAAAAGTGCCCCCCTCACATGCTAAGAACCGACTGTCATCAGTGCTTCCCTTTGACCTCACTAACTTGGACTACATTCCAGACAATGGTATGTAGCTCCTCATTGCCATTTTGTATGAGCTCTACAGTCACCTCTTCCTACGGGGAAAAGAGGGTCGAATGCAGAATAGTTCGCGGCAAGTCCCCGGTATCCGAGAATACCCATTCGAATACACTGAACGCCCCTAATCGCAAACCATGACACACCACTATGGGGAACCAATTACCTATGTATACCTGACACAAAAGAAACCTCAAAGGAGCTGGTAAATCTCGGAATACCATTTCGGTTTTGTACCAAACTTTAAAAAAAATCAAACAAAAAGCTGATTAATATTTAACCAAGAACTATTAATTCAATACAAATCAAACCACCATTTGATGTTTCGATATCGAAGGAAAACTCACCTAAAATGTTCTTCTCCAATGCGCGCATGAATTTATCGATGCGACTGTATTGTTTGCGCGGATCAATCAAAAGCTCACACAAACGCTGAATGGTAAATGGTGCGGCATTGAATAACTCCAGACGTTCCAACAGCGACGATTTCATGCTCTCATAATTGAAAGGATCAACATTCGGATACTGAGGAATCTCTGTAAAATGAAAGGGAAGAGTGAGAAAAAATATTTATTAATTTCTTTTCAATAGCAAAACCCAACTCCAGATAGATGGACATTGAATATATGTATGTATATAAAGAAAAGGAAGTATATAATGCGAAATAAAATGAATGAATGCGGTATGGTGCGGCGTGGCTCTTTACAAAGCTGATTAAACGTACACACACACATACATATGTACATACAATACATATGTATAAATAACGAGCCACAGACAGAGAAAATGAAGGTTGGTTGATCTGTAATGATTGTCATTAAGAACAGCTGAAGGAAAAAATAAAGAAAAAAAAATAAATAAATAAGAAATAAAAAACAACTCGAACAAAAGCAACACAACAAGCCTAAGAATCAATCACATGTACACATATATTATATATATGCACATGCATATAAAAACAACAAAAGCATCTCAGGGGGGTTATTGTACTCCAAGTGAACGATTTAAGGCAACTTTGCGCGTGTGCACGAGTCATTTAAAAACCCAAACGTTTCACGAAAAACCGGCAAATGTGCGAAATTATAACGAATGTGTGCAAAAAACGATTGCTCGAGTCGCACTTAACGACAAGCAGACAGACGAACAGTGAGCAACGGCCATCCGAATGAAATAAGAAGTGCGGCGAGAGGTACGCGGCGAAATGGAAGCCAAATTGATGATAGTAGACCGGATGGATGGATGGATGGTTGTTTGTTTGTGCACTACTTTGCTCTGGCTGGCTGGTTGTTTCGCCGTTTTTCGCTGCTCTCGAACATTTGCATAGCACACGAAGCCGAACAGCACTGATACGTATGAGCTGGGGAGCCAATGCAATGTTAAACCGTAAATGAGCGCAAAATGCCGGCACACGACAAAGGAAAACCAACGAGAATCTGATTTAATTGGGAGCGCCGCACCGGCAACAATAGCTGAAAGATTATGACAATGCTTATGTATATACATACATATATGGGTTCGAGTGTACCTTGTATGTAGGCATATTCGGAAACGTGAGCGCCAATATGGCGTTTGGGAGAAATAAATGTGTAACTATAAATGCATGTACATAGATGATGATTGAGCAAGGAGTATGGGACATGTAGTATTTATGTATGTGTCGCTTAACTTTTTATGATATTTGTGTTTCTTATTTCATGTCGACACTCATAGCGCCGTCTTAGCAATTTGATGCAAATATGATTGAAGGCGAAAATGTGCTGATTTTTAGCTTTCGTGTTATCAGAAAAAAATTGAACTTTTGCCGTTGAGCTGGAATGTCTTTTTCATTTGTGTATTTTTAAATATTCTTGCCCAAATAAGAGACCTCTTTCGACGGGTTCGGACCAGAGATCGAGTCTGGATAGGTAAATGTTGATACTTCTATATTTTCCAGATTCTCGTCTCGTGAGCATCTGGATATACATAGATAGTGTTGGTTGGAGTTAAAGAAGACGTTTACAAACTCTCTGTAAATAATATTGAAGGCGGCCTGCTATGAGGAGTTAAATGAAGTCCCGTAGGTCAAGTACAGCTTGATGTGTCTAGGTGGTGTTTCGGCAAGGATCCTGGAAGTAACATACCAGCAGAAACTGCTTGTTCAGCAGAGACGTCATACTATTTATATGGTGTAAAGACGATATCAGGGTGGTACTTGAACAGGCTTGAACAGAAAAAATTTCAATTTCGTTCGTTTTCAGTTCGTTTCAGCGCTCTTTCGTCCAGCTGGTGAAAAGGGTAACCAATGATTTTTTTTGGTTGCTGTTGTAGTGGTCGTGCAGTAAAGAAATAGAGATAGAAGTTTAACTTCGAACAAAAGATATTAATATTTTGGTCGGTTGCAAATATCGAGTTGTCATCGATATATGAGAACGGAGAGAACGCCCCCTGGTGCTGGAAAAAGCTATGAAATATAGAAAAATCAAAAATAACGAAGAGACCTGGGTTTATTGTCTTTGTCGTTATCAAAATATATCCCCCGTTTAACAGTCCTTGGCATGAAGAAAATCCGACAATCCCGGGAACCACATATTGGATTTTTGTCGGTAAAGGCCCTAAGACCTTTCATACCTAAGACTGTTATTGAAATCTATGGTGTTGTAAGAGGATTTCCTCTATATTTCGATGAAGAGAACATCAAAAAAGAAGCCGTGTCCAGTATTTTGTCTGTTAGACGGTTCACTAGGAAAGATCTTGCGAGTGATCAGTGCTTTCCTACAACTACAATCAAGCTAGGCTTTAAGGGTGATGGAATCCCTAAACACATTATTTAAAATTTTTCCAAATCAGCTGTTGCTTTTTACATACCACCCCTAAGACAATGCAACAAATGCGGTCGTCTAGGGCACACACAATTTACATGCAAAAGCAAAACGAGATGTCTGAGCTGCGGCAAGACGTATTGTTTAGTTTCAAGTTGCACTAAGAATGTATGTGGCAAAGAAGGTCACCTAGCGAAAAATAAGGACTTGTGCCCACATTGGGAAAATGAGCTGATGGTTAACAGAATCAAAACAATTAAAAAACTCTCTAGAAAGGAAGTCTTAGAGCAATACTTCCCCAGGAAGAATAGGTTCAGTCTACTGGAAGCCGGCAAGGACTCTTTCCCCATGCTGACCACCATTTTAAAGGACACAGTCCATAAAGACTCCTACATAAACAGAAACTTTACTAATAAAACGTATAGTCAAGCCATCAAAGGAGGTGCTGAGTCAAGTTAGGCGATCATCACTCAAACCGGTAACCTATCGTTCAGGACGTATATTTCTAAAACCTGCCCTTAATCCTGCCATCAACTCCTCCGTGGAATACCAAAAAGGTTTGCCATGGCAACTGGAGCGCAAATCAAAATAACAAATTTTCAAAAGCACAAAAATTTTCTAGAAATATTTTTAGAAATAATGACACCAACAAAACCACTCAGCTATCTCGCATTCTACAAGAAGCCAAATTAAATTTTTAACGTTAATATTACCCTAATCCCTTTTATTATTTATAATTTTCTGTTCTATCTTAATTAACCATCTCGTACCACTGCGTTCAGTTTGCAAAAAATAAAAAAAAAAAAAAAAATATAATAATAAATAAATAAATTTCAACCAATAAAATCTATATATAAACTATAGAGGTTTATAACTCGATACCAAGCATATAACATCATTTTTTGTAACTGCTCGTTACTCCCACTCAGCTTGCAACCGCATCCAGAGACATCACATACTCAATTAAAGCCAAAAATTTGCGTTCATTTAACAGGACAGGAATCGTATCCGAACGCAGCTCTTCAAGCCACCTTCTACAAGAAAATTAGCTCCAAATCGCTACTGCAGCAACACCACTAGGAGCAATATTCACCTAACCAAAGCTAGAAGCTTTGGTCATCTTAATGGACAGGAACGTGTTCAAACACAACCGTTAAATACACATTCTACATGTTAGCTGTAACGACATCGAAAAGGCGCAGAAGATCGTGTCTTAAGCCTACGTTTGAGGAAACCACCCGGCAATATGTGGAATTAACTTCCCAGCCAAAAAGTAACCAAATTAAAAAAAAGGTAAGTGTTGGTGACATTGAGTTTCTTAAATGCCTCTGGGGAGAATATCAAAGAGGTCTTGAAATTGGTCAAATTTGACTACATCATTATATTTAATATATCTACATTCCAATACACACATTTTGAATACTATGAAACATTTTTTTTTTTGCTATTACTAACCAACAGTGTTTGAGAACAAAGCACGAATGAGCATGAAGTACATAATCGTATGTACACATACATATATATATATTCATGTTACATACAAAAGTTAGTTTCAGCAAAAATAATTATAATAATACAAACAACAATAAAAGCAGTAACAACAAACAATAAAAACTCAGCATACAAGCACCTTTGTATATATGTACATATGTTTGAGGAACTTAGTTAAGAAGGCAAAAGCAATTACCATCCATTTATTCCTGTGCTGCTGTTAAATTAGGGTATACACAAACATTCATACTGCATATAGTACGTACATATACATATTATACATACATTACCGTTCCCATAGTGCTAGCATGATGTGTAGATGTATATATGTATGTATCTCTTAAAAGCAAACAAAATACATTAAAAATGCCGGTAACCGAAAATTCACAAAAAAAAAACAAAAAAAAAAAGAAGTACACAACAACAATGGCTTTCTGTACAGAAGTAGCAATTACGTGTATAAGAGAAGTTGCAAACACAAAAAAAAAAAAAAAAAAACACCAACTAAAGTATTGGAGACCGTAAATGTGCTTGCAACCGTATATTGCAAGTACAGAGTGTACGAAAAGTATTCAAATTAATTGTTAAGTTGAATTAAAAATATTCCAGCCGCTACAAATAAGACTGTCACGATGTTACTAAGACTTGTTAAATTTTACTGCATTTTTCCTCGTAAAAATAATTACTATAAACTGTTTTAATATAAAAAATAATAATATTGCATATCATATGAATTTCCAAAAAAATTGCTCAAAAAAAATTAGTTGCGCTACATTTTGCGACGCAATAATTTATTTTACTACATTTAAACAATAAAACTAAATATTGCAATAAAATTTTGAATGGCACATTCGAAAATAAATTAAAGTTCTGAAACAAATATATTTTTAAATATTATAAAATATTAAAAAATAATGTTGAATATATACATATGATATTTTTTCATGCAAATACGAAAAATAAATATTTTTGAAATGATTATATTTCCAAAAAAAAAAAATGATTAAAAAAAAATTTTAGAGGCAATGTTTTATTTATTTTTTTGCAATTGAATTAAAAATCGCACAGAACAAAGCAGCTGCAAAAAAAAACAACGAAAAAAAGAAATGAAAGAGTTTTCTGAAAACAAAAAATGCGAATATTTGACATATCTGTTGTAAACTAAATATATAAATATGTTTCGAAATATAATAAAAAGTAAATAATACCAATAAAATATAGAAAAACAATTTATAGTTTATGATTTT